TTCTGCTTAATTGGCCTCCTGAAATCTTTCAATTTACAATTAACACCTTAGACTAGAATTTAGTCTTATTTTGTCAAACTTCATACTCTCTAACAAAGGTTAAGTAAGTCCCCACTACTGTAAAACTATAGGATGAGAAAGGGATGACCAGTACACACCAATCCAGAGCCTTTCTCACCTTTTTTGAAGTTGACATCAACAGGAGCTGCACTAAAGATTCTTGAGGGGTTCCTGTAGCTTACCAGTTAGTGCCCCCACCCCCCCAACAATCTCCAAGTTGTTGCTGCTAAGTGCCCTGGAAAAACTAGGCCTGCATTGCCACAGCTAAAATTATAGGCTTACTGATTACTGTCCTTGCCTCCTGGCAGCTGCTGCAGCATCTCCCAGCTGCTGCTGCTGCTGCAAGCTAAGTGCCCTGTTAGGAGGCAAGGGGGACTGCCCTGACATTTAAGTCTGCTTCAGTGGAATTGGAGTCCAAACAAAGCTGAAGTCAGTGATAATTGAGGAAAACCCTTGAGTCATCCTCTTCAGAGGAAGATGGTTGTGATTATTGGTGAGTCATCCCAGTCCAGAGCATCATTCTAGGAGTTCCTTGATAGTATCCTAGGTCTCAACATTTTTGGTGCTTCAACAATGACTTTCCCTCAAGGTCAGAAGTGGAATATTCACTGGGGACTAGTGTTCACTGCCATTGGTTCAGATACTAAAGCAGTCCTTGGTCTAAAGTCTAGATCTCACTAGAAATAAATCCAGGTTTGGGCTGATAATTGCCAAGTAATGCCTGTTACCTGAGAGTCAGACAATGATCTTCAAAAGAGAATTTAGTCACATCCCTAACATTCAGTGGCATTACTGTCACTGAATCATCACTACCCCCATCCTGCGCATTACCACTGAACTGGATTAGCCATCTAAATTGTGGCAACAGAGCCTAGGAATCCTGTAGTGAGTAACTTGAGCATGGTTTGTGGAGTTAGGAACCATCTTCAGCACAAGTCTGGAGCGTGATAGACTACTCCCCATTTGCCTGGATAGGTGTAGTTCCAACAGCACCATCCAGGATAAAATACCACATCCACACACTCCACTACTGGCACTCCATAATGCTCTGCAGAAATGTCTTCCACTGCACTTTCCAAACCTACAACCACTATATCTAGAAGAAAAAGGGTAGTAGGTACATAGAACACTATCCACTACAGCCTTCCCTACAAGTTATTCATTCTGACCTGGAAATATATTGCTGTTTCTTTTACTGTCACTGAGTCAGCAATCCTGAAAACTCCTTTGAACAGCATTGTTGGTGTGTGTACAACAAATGGTTCAAGAAGGCAGCTTGCCACTGTCTCATGGGTATCTGATGCTGGCTCAGCCAGTTCTGCTCCATCTTGTGAATGGGTTAAGAAAAATTGAGCAACTTATTTTGAAAGCTTCCAGTAGGCCAGCTACATGGATAACAAAGGTTGCAAGTGCACTTTCAGATGGGAGCTGGTTGTTCTCACCAGAGACATTGCATGGTCGTTGTTTGTTCTTGGCACTGGGAGTTGCACTTTTAAATCAGCCGGAGTCCTGGCTCCTGATCTTAAATGATCAAGTAGCCAATATACACCTGATAAGATTGGGCTGATTTGGTTTAGGGATCTTATGTGGCCCTGTACACACTCTTGGGATTTGGTCCCAAGTCCTCATCAGTTCCGAGGAAGGGTCACTGGACCCAAAACGTCAACTTTTCCTTTGCAGATGCTGCCAGACCTGCTGAGCGTTTCCAGCAACTTTGTTTTTGTTCCTGATTTACAGCATCTGCAGGTTTTTATATTTTTATTAAGTAAGCTTGATTACCTGACTTCAAATTGAAGGGCTTGTTCTTATCAAAATTGATTGTGAAAATGCTTCTCCCATTGTTTGAGGAAAAAGATCATTTTTCAGATCCCTTTGGTATACATGATCTCTTCCTCTTTCTTGATGTGGTCGTAGATGGTTTGCATGGCCTTGATAGCTTCAGTTTGATTAAATATATTTTTTTCATTGTTTTGGTTGTTAAAAGCTGCTTCCAACAACTTTTTTCCCTAATGTAGCCAGGAGTTTCTCATTTCCCCTTTCCAAACTGTTTATTGTGATCACTAAAATTGAGTCTCTAGTTTACTGGAGCTCCATTATACAGACTTTAAATCGGGGATCTCTACACGTAATGGAATTATTTGCGTCACCTTTTCTGTTCACTTTGTTAAACCTGCAAGCTGAAAACAAAGCTTCATGTTGACAGTCTTTTAGGATGTTTCTGCCATTTGCTCCCTATTTTGCCAAGTTGTTAGTCATACAGCATGGAAACAGACCCTTTGGCCCAACTCATCCATGCCAACCAGGTTTCCTAAACTGAACTGGTCCCATTTGCCTTTGTTCGTCCATATCCCTCTAAACCTTTCCTATCAGTGTACCTGTGCAAATGTCTTAAATGTTGTAGTTGTAACTGTACCCGCCTCTACCTCTACCACTACCAGTTCATTCAGCAGCTGTTCCAGATATGTACCCCACTGTTTGTGGAAAAGGTTGCCTATTATTTTCCTCTTAAAATCTTTCTCCTCACCTGAAACCTGTGCTCTCTGAATTTTGGGTTCCCCTTCTCTAGGGAAAAGATGGTGTATGACCGTATAAACCTCTAAGGTCACCCTCACCTCCTATGCTGCAGGGGAAAAAGTCCAGCCTTTCCTTAACACCAACCTTCCAGTCCCAATAAAACCTTGCAAATAGTTCTTGCACCTGTTTCCAGGTTAACATAACGGCAGCATGGTGCCTCAGTGGTTAGCACTGTTGCCTCACAGCACCAGGGTCCCAGGTTCGATTCCAGTCTCAGATGACTGTGCAAACTCCACACAGACATTCTCCCTGTGTCTGAGGGTTTCCTCCCACAATCCAAAGATGTGCAGGCTAGGTGGATTGGCCATGCTAAATTGCCCATAGTGTTCAGGGATGTGTAGATTAGGTGGGTTATAGGAGCATGGGTCTGAGTGGGATGCTCAAAGGGTCGGTGTGGACTTGTTGCGCTGAAGGGCATGTTTCCACACTAGGGATTCTATGATTATTCTTATGGCTAGGGCCCACAATTATACACAACTCCAAATGTGGCCTTATTCATGTCTTTTACAGCTGTAACATGACACCCCCAACTCCTGTACTCTATGCTCTGACCAATGAAGGCAAGCATGCCAAAAATCTTCACCTTGTGGCTTTCAATGAACTATGTGCTGCGTCCTTAAGTCTGTTTGACAATAGTCCCCAGGTCCTTAACAATTAACAAAGTCCTGCCCTAGGTGAAAGACTTTGCATTTATCTGCATTAAACACCATCTGCCACTCAGCAAGATCCTGTTGTACTCTTCGATAATCTTTCACTATCCATTATGCCACCAATTTGTCATCTGTAAACTTGCTAATCATGCCTTTGTTCTCATACAAATTGTTTATATAAATCAACAATAGATCCAGCATGATCCTTGTGGTACACCAGTAGTCACAGGCCTCCAGCCTGAACAACATCCCTCCAAGACCCCTCTGTTGCCTGTCAAGCCAATTTTGTATCCAGTTGGCTAGCTGTCTTTTGATCCCATGTGATCTAATGTTACTAACCAGTCTACCATGCAGAGCCTTGTCAAAGGCCTTGATGAAGGGTCTAGGCCCGAAACGTCAGCCTCTCTGCTCCTATGATGCTGCTTGGCCTGCTGTGTTCATCCAGCCCTGCACCTTGTTGTCTTGAAGTCTATGTAGACTGCTTCTACTGCTCTGCCTTCAAGTTGTAGGTTTGGTCTTTTTGGATTTTACAGTTAAACTTCCATTCAACTTGTATCTTGCACATTGCTCCTTTCACTTCACAAATAATTATCCCTTGAATCATTCTGAAATTATTCCTCAAATAACTTGATACTGTACCCATCTGAGATCTCTTGCCCTATGTCTTGCATCCTGACACTGAAATGTAAGAAAGTACTAAAAATGCATGTTTCAGTTCTGCATTGATAAACCTACAGCCAGTGGGTGAGTTACCTAGAACTTACTGTAAACAGTTAATTTAGTGCAGGACTTCAGTTTTTTTTCTAGTGGTGAGCATGTAAAACATCTGCAACTTGATGCAAGTCTGTCAATTTGTATAGGGTCCACCATGACCCCTGAGATGTTTTTAAGTTCAGTAATACTACATTAGATAGAAAGTTTAATCACTGTTATATGTAGGGCATGTGTCAGTCAGCTGTTCTGTTTTGTTGACTTGAGGAATGTTTAGGTGGGTATTGCTTCTAAGGGTGCTGTTACCTGAGTGGGCTGATAGTCATGTAAAAGTTCCAGTGAAGGTGGCACCTGCCTCAAATATTAGACTTTAAGGCAAACTTCTATGGGTTGCTGAAATTCAGTATGGGACTAATTTGGGAGTTCAGAACAAGTTCATCACATGAAACTTTAAATTTAGGTGAATTAAGTATTTGATTTTCTTATTGCTGTCTAGCCTTCTCATCCATCAACCTTTTTGAAACTCCAGATGTAATATTTGGTTGGTCAAGTTATGCACAAATGCTTGTAGATAGTTTTTGGCAGAACTAAAATGTTGCAGTTGGCTTAATTTTTTTGCCCTGATACTCCAGGTAATTGCTTAAATTTTGAATGAAGACTGCTAGAAAATGTCACCCTATTGCTGCCTCACTTTTTAACCAGCATTGTTTAAATTCAAATCTTTTGGCTTTGGAAGTAAACTGCTCAAAAGTAGGTGATTTAATTCGTGTTCATGTGTATGTAGCTCTTGTTCACAGTAGATCTCCATGTTGAATGGCTGCCTTTGCTGTATTGAATATGGATTAAAATGAGACAAGTCTTGCTGCTCTGGCTTGTCATTGTCTTCAAAAGCAGCCGTCTTGCCTGGCTGTTGGTGAGGAGGCAAATCTGAACTGATCTGTTGAACGAATATTGTTCTAAAGTAAACTTCATTTAAAATTCTCAATCTTTTGCTTTTGTCCACAGAATTCGTACAGATGATGACTGCAAAATGAAGAATTTTACCTTTTTCCCCCTTCCTAGAAAAAGTTGAAATCTTTTACTTACCTCTTGCAAAATGTTCATTTATTCATTCTGTTTCTGTATAGCAAAAGTTACTGAATGTCAAAAGAAAAAAAAAACCTGTCCACAAACTCTGCATGTAAATGATCAGTGGTCCTGTCCCCAAAGATCTTCAAGCCATGCATCAGTAAAACTTGTACTACCTTAAAAACAAAGGCAATTGGACTCTATGAAGTTCCATGCTGAAACACTGTTTGGGCTGGCCAGTTTTTCATGCATGCAGCTTGACAGTTGAGCACAGCCTGGCTCTGTTAATTCCACTTTATGTTCTTTGTGGGAATAGTTTAGTTTTTCCAGTTTATACATTGTACCAGGATTGTTCCTGAAAAGTTGGTTAAATTTTGAGTACTGAGGCAAGAAAAAAACAGAAGGTTTGTAATTGTATGACAGTCCCTAGAGTGGAATTGTTTTCATACTTAATGTGTGCTCATAAAACAATTACCAGGATTGAAGATCTTGAATTTTTAAAATTAAAACGATGGCATGCCTGTATAAAACTTGGTTAACGTGTCTGCATTGCACTATAGTGAAACGGATGTCAGGCAATTTACCGTTCACTGACTTTTTAAAAGTTACCTATGATAAGGGAGTGTCTCAGACTCTCGTGTTTATCTTCTGTTCTGTACCATAAACTTGGAGCCGTCAGAGTATATATCTACATAGGACTTCAGCACAATGACGACATGGCTGTTCAGCAAATTACAATTATGTCCATTCCAAGTTGTAAATGCTAGTCTTTTTTTCCAATAAAAGACCATTAACTTAAGTCTCTTGGGTGCCAAATTATTTAATCCACTTTTTCAGTTACACTCAACCTATCAGTTACCTAAAATTATTTTCTGGTTGGTTTTTCATATCAGCCAATGATCGCTGTGCTTCAGCTTATGTAAGACCATAACACTACAAGTGGGTGTTTGCAAGAAATTTTTAAATGGGCCTGTTTGAATGGTTTCTGTTAACAGTAAAAGTTGAATGCACCAAATTCACACTTGGATCACTTTAACATGGTGTGTATTTAACTTGGTATATCCTGATTATTTAATTGCAGTTAATTAATTTGCTTTTTAAACTTGTCTTTCATGTTAACCTGTTGTTGCAATCTATACAATTTCATATCAAATCAATTACTGAACTTTTTAAAGGTTCTCAAATCAGTATTCCTGCTGTACATTGCATTTATATGTTTAACATCTGAAGTAATTAGATATTCAACTACATGTTGGCCCTGGAGAGTTTTTTTGTTGGTTAACTTTGCATTTATTTGCAATGCATCTTGCTTTGCCTCCCCAGTCTCAACTGGGGCTGATTTGTTGTCCAGAATAGTTTGAACTGGGAGGTGTTTATGCAAGTAGGCAGCATATGATCATACAACCATGATGCATCCATATGCACCAAAGACTGACCCACCCCACTCCTGCTATATTTGGATCTTCTGAAGCCTAATTCTGTTGCTCTTGACTTCCCTTCAACCTGGCCAGGCTTGGAGAAATGAAGGCTACTGCCTGATGGGAGCATGATCCAAACCCAAGAACTTTCCACGGCTTAAGTGCTGAATGTTTTCATGCACAAACTTGGATTTGGGAGGAGTGTTCCTAGTTGCATAGAAGCTGAAGATCTGAATGGACTGATAATCTAATAAGAATCTTTTGGGAATTGATGAGGGTCTATATTACCAGTAGCTTATGCTGATACGTTGCAATTTATTTTGATGCTGTGTTCAGATGTGGGAGATGGATGCCAATTTCTCGTGCATCAGATAAGCAAGTTTAACTTGATAATGTTACTGTGTTGTAAGTATCAAAAATAAACTTAATGCTTTATGTATTAAAGTTGTAGCAAAAGCTACTAATAAATGGAATCAATAGTGCTATTTGTGAATAGCATTGTGCATTTGTCACTTAAAACTGGGTGTTACCTTAAATCTAAACTTTCAACTAATTGCAACATTATTAATTTTAAGGGGACACCTTCACACTTGAAGTCATTGCGTTGGGTTCTGCAGTTTATTGGTTCCATGAATTGGAAACTTGCACCCTTGATCACGTAATTAGAACTGTAAGTTCAGTTGAACTACTGTCAAATATTTTCAAGGCTTTCAGATACAAATGTGTAGTTTTTTTTTTTTTGCAGCTTGCCTCTGTTTTTTCTGTTTTACTAGTAATGTTTGCATTACTCTACTCCAGTTTCCCCATCTGACATGTATTCTTGGAATCTTTCCTCCATTTTAGCAGACCTTGAGGTGAATTGGTCACTGACATGATAAAACATAATTGGGGCATTATTCCTTGCTCCATTCCCAGGATGTAAATATGAAAATTGAGGTCCTTTCAAGTTAGGTTTCAAGGGACATTGTTCCCTATATTGTGGGAGGGGGGGATTTGGGCATAGTACTCATTAAACAATGGGAACTTGTGAAAAGTATAGTTGCCACACAAGTTCTTGTGGGTTGAGTGGAGGTCTGCAAGTTGTCACTGGTCACTTTGGCCCAGTTAGTAAAGATAATGGAGTTACCCAAATAGTTCAACTCCCTGCTCTTTCCCCGTCTGTTCATCTACTTTGAAGTTATGAATCTTTCTGCCATGTCACTTGGAATTTCAGATGGCACATCTTATGATTTTAGTAATGCAAAATGTCTATGGTACTCTTGAAGACTAGTATTCTATTTCTTTTTAACTGCTGTTTAGGTTGCCTTCAAAAATTTTCATAAATGTGCATACCTTACATCCTCCCCTGTACCATATTCAACCGCAGGGAAGTGCAGTTCAATGAAGTGCACTATGAAAAGTCAGCAGTCACAATCGATATTGCTGGTTAGCCCATCCCAATTGACATTGCCCTTGGAGCTGGTTTGTTGTCCTTTTGAACTGCTGCAGTTCCTATACCTGCACCCCTTGCTGTTCAGGACGGTAATACTGATTGTGTCAGTGATTTTGGAACAATGGTGGTAGTTCCAAATGAGGATGGTGTTTTTTTTTTTTTTTGGAGGACAATATGCAGATGGGGTTTCTATTGCATCTGTCACCTATCTTTTGTAGGTGGTTGCATGTTAAGGTGATTGTGGAACCCTGGGTTGTTGCAATACATCTTGTAGCTGCAGGGGGTCAGTTAGCTCAGTTGGCTAGATTGATAGCATGCAATGCTGTCAGTGTGGGTTCAATTCCTGAACCAGATGAGGTTACCACACAGACCTGTTCATTTACAATCTTACCTGAGCTGTGACGCTTTTAGGTTAAACCACCAATAGTCTGAGAGCAGTCCTTTAGGATTATGGCAACTTGTAGCTGGTGCATCCACTTTACTGACAGGTGAATGTTGGTGTTGGAGGGGACTGTCAGTAAAGCAGGCTGTTCCATCAAGGTGTCGAGCTGCTTGTGGTGTTGGAGCTGCACTCATCTTAGCAAAGAAGAGTGCCTGTGCCTTGTAGATGGTGCACCTGCATTAAGGAGGCAGGTGAAAGATTACCTCCATTCCCAACCTGACTTGATCATTTAACCACATTTATTGGCTGGTCTAAATTGGTTTCTCAATGATAATCCCTTGGATGCTGATCCTGAGGGATTTGGCATTCATTCTTGTTGCAGGGTATTTTGATGTCACTAAGGCCAACATTTGCAATTGTTACTTGCCATTTTAAACATGATGGCAAACCAAATCTTTTAATAGGACCTTTTTAGGAGGATGTTATAGGAGGTGGGTGCTATACAAATATGGCATTCCAGTGGATCTGACTTATACTCTGGATAGCAGTCTCAAATTTCCATTCGTATGGTATTAGTCTTTCTTTTTAAATACTTGTCCAATAGCTGCTTGATCTTTAATCGCTAGACAAGCAGTAAATGGTTTTCAGAAATCCTCTTGACTGCAGTTTAAGATATTCAACTTGCATTGAAAATCATGATGTTTTCTTCTTTGTTTTGTGTTGTCAAAGAACAATTCATTAAGTTTGTACAGATTAACCATTGTGAAACAGCAAAAATTTTGCCATACATGGGATAATTGGTACTGTGATAAGCTTGGCTTTTGTCCAAAGCCTTGCTGGTTAATCGCAATTTCTGGGGGAGGAGCAAGTCTGAAGAGCAAAAAAAGCAGAGACCTCTTGCAGCTGCTCTGGTCTGAGCAGGGTAAACAACTGCGTATCTCCTAAATGATCACTGAATTGTTAATAATTAGAATAAGTAGTTCCATCTGTGGTCAGGTAGGAAAAAAACAAAATGGAGCAAGAAATCTAATTTTATGACCTTTTATGTATGTGTACAGAGCATGTTTTAAGTACTTGATTCATTAGATCACTACAACTAACAGCTCACGAGTTCAATGATTCTGCACCTGCTGCCTTTTGTGGAAGGGCATTCCAAAGACGACTCCATCTGAAGAAAGTGGTTTCCTCATCTGTTAAAATGGGAGCCCTTCTCTTTCTCCAAGAGGTAACATCCTTTCAATATCCACTCAGGATATTGAATGTTTCAATTAAGTAACCTTTTCTAAACTCCAGAGTATAAAAGGCCTAGCCTTTCCTCTGTAAGGGAGTATGCTAATTTCAGGTATTAGTCTAGCAAGCCTTCTCCGAACTACTTCCAATGCGTTACCATCCTTCAGCGAGTAATGACAAGTATTGAAGATAACCTTTCAATTCTTGTAGTAAAGCAATTCAATTCCTTTTCCTGATATTTCATACTAGTCTTTTGTGATTCATGCACTAGAGCACCCAGTTCTCTCAGCATGAGCTGTGTGACCTTTCACCATGTTTTCTTCTGCCAAAATGGACAATTTTGCAGTTTCCCACAATACTCTGATCTGCCAGATTATTGCCCAGTTATCTGTTTTGATCCTGTTGTAGCTTTCTCATGACCTCCCCAACTACTTTGCTGATGGCAGAAATAGGTAGCAAATTTGACAACCAAACTTAGAGCTGAGGCCTAACCCTTCACACACCACTTGTACCACCCTGCCAAGCTCAAAGAACTCTTCCTCCTCTCTGCTTTCAATCTTCCATCCATTGCCAATATATTGTCCTCTACACCATGAGCTTTTACTTGGATAACCTTTCAAGGCACCTTTTATCAATGCATTCTGCAAGTTTAAATACCATACATCTAGTAGTTTGACCTTGGGCTGTAGATAAGCGGTAAAGAACTTCAATAAATGAGATTTTGCTTTAGAGCCTGATTCCCATCCTTTGATTCAGTTAAAGTTATTAAACGGAGTCCTAAATGTTGCAAGGTTTTCAAGTAGGATGTTGTTCTAGGGAGCCTCAGTGCAAGCTCAAAGAACAGTGTAGCAGGCCTGCAATAGTTTGGTTGGGAAACACGATGCTCTGTTGAAGTGGCAGGCAACTGGAAGCTTGGTCTTTATTTTTTGCAGAACGTAGGTGTTCTGCAAAGTCTGTCTCATCCTCTCAATATTGAGGAGACCACATTGTGAGCGGTGAATATAGATGTCCAGGATGAAAAAAGTACAAGTAAATTGCTGCTTGACCTGGAAGGTATGTTTTGGGCCTTGGATGGTGAGGAGATAAAAACACAGTGATTACATAGGAAGGCTCTGGGGGTGTGAGGTAATGTTGGGAATGGAGGAAGAGTGGACCAGAGTGCACTGGAGGGCATGGTCCCTGGGAAATGCTGACAAGAGGGAAGGGGGGGAATGTTTGGTCATGACATCCTGTTGGAAATGAAGGAAATAGTGGTATACAAATCTTTTCCATATGGTGTGGCATTGTTATTGGTGTTCTGCAGGGTTCTTAACTGAAGCTGAATGTGTTCTTCCTGA